TACCTAAGTGTCTTGGGTGTGAGTAATGACAAATATATATATATATATATATATAACTGATAATTATTACCTGTATTTACCCCGTGGACAAACAGCTTAACTTTTATAAAACTCAATTTCCCCATATAAAAGGAGGGGAGGATAACATATGTCAAATGCTTAGGACAGAATCAGGCATTCTTTAAGCACTTAATTAAGAGTGGTTATTAACATAAAGAGGAAAGTTGACTTAATCATAGTCATGGTTCTCTAACGTTGTGTCTTTGATCTTTTAATTGATTAAAAGAAAAATCTTCTAAATAGTATTTTTCTTTCATTTATTTTTCCACTTATGTGTTTGCTATACTTATGAAGTGAGTCTCCAATGGGCAATGATAATGACCCATTGCTACATTAGGATTTCTGAAGTAGCAGTGGTACCGTGAAAATCTAATGATGATGGTGGTTATTTAGTGGTGAACACTTAACTGATCTCTTGTATGCCAGGCAGTGTACAAAGGAGAGATCTGAGCTACAGAAACAAATTTAGAAGTTATTAGCATATACATAGTATCTAGATCTATGGGGACCGATATACTCTTTCTTGTTCGAAACAACCAAAATGGCATGATGATAATATAAGATTTAAAAAATCTGGTATTATAGAATACCTAGTTGGTAGGTGAAGGTTTTTTTTTTTCTTTTTTAAAAGAGACTTTATTTTTTAGAGCAATTTTGGGTTCACAGCCAAATGGAGCAGAAGGTACAGCGATGTACCCATGTACCCCCTGCCCCCACATGCAATGCATACCATCAACATCCCCCACCAGAGTGGTACATTTGTTACAGCTGATGAACTTGTATTGACATATCATTATCACCCAAAGTCTTTAGAGGATTTGCAGCTTACTTGTCACGGGTCAGGGAATAGCTTAGGTTCTCTGAATGACGACATTTAGTTTGAGAGGGAGAGAATACTGGTAGCCCAGGACAGTCTCTTCTCAACCTTTGTTTTCTTCACAAGTGCTTAATGCTCTTCTCTGGCAAGCCTTGGTTCTTGCCCTTGCTTTCAGAAAACAGCAGCCAGGGTGTGAATAAGTAGATGGTCAATAAGGGTAGAGTCAGCCAGCACCAATTACCAGGGCCCAGCTGGAAGAGGGCTGCCCAGTGACTTATGTACCAGTCCAATGCCAACGTGAAGAATTTCTGCCATTCCACCTTGGCAGGGTGGGCCTGAAAAAAATGTTTCCAGCAGTGTGTCAGTTTCTTCCCACTGACCTACAAAATAGATTTGGGGGATTTCAGCTAACTCTTTACTATCTGTCGCGTTTGGGATTTGGAGAGTTGGGGTATAATTAAAATTCATGGGTAATTCTCTAATCTTCATTTAGCCTTATTAACTGATATAAACCCTTTACTAGCTCTAAGTAGCCCAGGGAACTGGGATCTTATCTCTTTTCTTTTAATCTCTATAATCTCCTTATGATAATAATAAGTTATTGTCATACTGTAATTATTACCTATTAAGGGAGTATATACTGAGTGCTTACTCTATGCCATTCATTATTTTTAAGTGCTTTACATATATTAGCTACTTTAATCTTCACAGTAACACAACAAGGCTTATTATCCTTACTTGATAGGTGAGCAAACTAAGGCTCATAGAGATTGAATAACTTGCCCACGGTCATATACTTAGTGAGAGAGCCTGAATACAAAGCTGCAAGCTAAGGATGGTGAAATGCTGCAAAGCTAGATGGCATTGAGAAGAAAAGAAGAAAAAGGCCTGGCTACTCCATAGTTCAGTGTAATTAGTAATTTATGATAGTTCGTTTTATTTAAGTAGAAAACGCAAATGAGTCAGTTTCACGTGATGAGCTGTATGGCTCTCTTTTCTCTGTGTATGTGTGTGTATTGCAGCCCTTTGAATGCTCTAAAACACAGCAGATGTGTCTGACCATTGTTCGAGAAGTTTGTTTGTAAGACAATCATTAGCAGTTTTCTCAAGAGAGAAATTAAATGAATGTGTCTGATGTTCACTTTAGTATTTGTTTTTAACAAAGCCCTAAAGAGAGAACTAGTCTCATAGGAGGAAGTAGTTCTTAAAGAGAGAACTAGGAGGAGGTAGTTACAGAAAGTTTGGTGCCCTTTTTTTTTTCCCCACATAGAAATCTCTCTCCACCTCCTTTTATTATAAAAATTAGTACAAAGTTATTGCAAAAACTGTAAGTAAATTCTGTTTTATAGTACCCAGGATTAATTTTACACAATTTGAAATACAGCATAAATCTTTCTGGATACTATTCTTGGTCTGTAACCACAGAAAAACATCTTTTTTTTTTTCTGTTTTAACACGAAATTAGAGTCTACATTTTACACTCAGCACTGTATCTTCGCCATCTTCCCCTGTTAATATCCTTTTTAAAGGCTTTGGAATATGTCTTTGTATGGATATGCCCAAGTGTCTTTCAATGGTCCATTTCCCTTTTAAAAAATTTGTAAACACCTGCTCTGTCATCTTCATGACTTAAAATTCATTTAAATTGCTACATCCTCATTCTTATACACCAAGTTGGAACATGATTCTATATACGTACAAGGCAGTAGAGTGTATTGTTGAAGAATCACGTGGGTCCACTCAACCTGGACAAGGAAGTCTGTTCAGAAGCTCGGTAAGTGAATGGCACCCAGGAAGCCTCAGCTTTAAGCTCTTTCCTTCTCTCCTCATAACTAGATTAGGCACTTCACCTTTTTGAGTCTCAGGTTCCTGGTTGGGTTAGACCATCTCTTACCTTCTTTCTTGTTTTGAGTAGCTTATGATGTTATAACATGTAGACATGTTTTTAAAATGAACGTTTTGCTATTTTAAATTAAAACAACAATTAAATGCTTCAATAATATGAGAAATTCTATTTAAAAAATCCTGACAGGGATACAAAGGAAAAAAATCATTTCCACTTAATAGGTCTCTTTCTGTGATCGTCCCTGTCTTCTTTCATGTGCCTTGGTTTTCTACAAAGTTGTGGTCAGTGTTCACAGTTCAATTTTGAGTTCTTTTATTTCCACTTTTCAATGTTACTACATAGTATTCCAACATATTAGCATGGGAACTTTTGAATTCATATTGTTGATAAATTAGGAAACTAACCACTTCCTATTCCTTGAAGAGCTGAACATGAACTGTTGGGTAGTTTTCTGTTTTTGAATCTGTGGATCTTGACTAACATCTTAAAAACTATGAAATAGAATGGAATTGAAAATGTCAGAATGGTTTCATGAAGCATCTATTTTAGTTTATATGTGGATATGTGTTTACTGGATAATGTAAAATGTACACGTACTGAGGTTTGTGGCCAAAAGAATTTAAAAGCCCCTGGAGTAAGTAACAATGACAAGTCTCATCAAATTTTGAGGTTTTCATGTCATATTTTAAAAAGGCTGTTTAATTTCTCAGGCATGTTCTGAGAGTTGCTTCCTTTGGAATTACATAGTAGGTAGTTTAGTCATGCAGTGCTTTGGTCCACAAAACTAAGACCTAAAGTGAAGTGTAACTATTAATCTATATCTCCTCTGCCCAGGAGCGTATAAGAAACAAATTTTTATTATACTATTATAGTAACTAACAGTCACTTAAAAATAAACAGATAAGTCATAGTATACCAAATCTCAGAGGGGGAAAAACGATCTTACATATACAGGCTGTGCTATGTTAGTTCTTTGGTTAACATGCTTGCCTGTACTTTTCCGTTGGCCTTCTGTTACATTAGCTAGCTTCTATTTGAGGGAAGCTAAAACACAGACTTAGTCCACACATTACAAGCCATCATTGTATAATCAGCTCTCTTAAATGCATTTTATATGATACTTAAAGTGAAAAATTTTTGCCTAGTCTTGAAGTTCAAAGCAACATTTACTTTATCACTTCTATCTATGTCTTCCTCATTAGCAATCATCGCATTCAGCTGTAACTTTTCCGTTTTTAGTTATTTTCTTAAAACACATGTGCATGCAGGCGCACACACATAGCTGCTTCTATTTAACTTTACAAGAGGTTTTTTTTTTTTTTTTTTAAGGGAATGATTCAGCATGATTTAGCAGCCTGTCTCTTTAGGGAGCCGATTTTACAGAGTAGCCAGTGTATTCAGTAGTTATGCGTTAATGTGTTCAGTGGTTAATCTATCTCATAGGCTAAACAACATTGAAATTTCTTCTAGTTTACTGTTTCAGTCCAGCTCAGTTATGACAAATATTCAGATATATGTTCAGGTAGGACAAGAAATTGTGGAGCTTCAGGTTAAAATAAGGAGATTCCTAGGACTGGAGGAAATTTCTGTGATTCACAAGTAAAAGAAGATTATTTTAAATTTATTTCCATCCATTTGCAGAATGAATTTTGTTTAAGCATTAGTTAGGGTTGGGAAAGCCATGTTATTACCTGATGAGAGGAGGCAAGTCTAGCACCTGAGGATCACACGAAGACAGTCTGAACTAAATAGACACCATGATGTTTGTTTTCACCTGTTGGTTATAAAGTATGTCGTGGACTTTGGGCAGTGCCAGACCTATGTTCCAAAAGTTGCTTTATAGGAAATTCCTACTCCCCCATGATGTACCTCAGTTATTAAAAATGCATAAAAACCTACAATGAGAGAATTCTCCCTGATATTTCCCTGTTGGCAGGACTCAACTTGGGAGTGGGGATTGCTTTAGTTCCCAGTCACTGGTGGTATCTGCTCAGGCTTGGGCGGATGCTCTAGTAGGGTGGAGATCCAGGGGCAGTGACAGCTGGTACTGGTTTCTCGGGTGACCAGAAGACTGGGAAGAGATGGCTGTAATGGTTTGTCCTGATACTTCCACATTGCTTCCTGTCTTTATGCTGTACTCTTGCATCTGGTGACACAGTGCCTACATTTGCCTGAGTTTTCCAGCAATATTGGGGGACAGTCTATAAAAGTATAATGTTTGAAATGTTTCACTGAGACCTTACTAAACGATGTACTTTTTTTGGTATTGCCTTTCAGAATTAAAGCCATAGAGAGCCCCAACAAAGAAGATGATACCCAGTGGCTGACCTACTGGGTAGTGTATGGTGTGTTCAGCATTGCTGAATTCTTCTCTGATCTCTTCCTGTCATGGTTCCCTTTCTACTACATGCTGAAGGTATGTTGGCTTCTGAACTGCTCGGTTTCCTTCCACATATATATTTGCTTTGCTCCCTGCCACTAAAATTCCATCTCAGGACCTGTATACAAAGAATAGGAACAAATGCTTGAATATTGTACAGCTGTGGCTCTGTTTCAGATTATAAACAAGAAGACAGGACTCGGCATGCCTAACTTTGTTTGTATACTGTCTTGAAAATAGCCAAAGCAATTTTGTGTTCAAGATATGCTTGATAATATTATAATAAAGGACAGAAATACTATGACCTAGCACAAGCATTGCTTTTAGTTTGCTAAGATCTTATCTCCATGTAGTGTTGTCTACATTTAATATGGAAGCATTGCAAATTTTAGTAGGTCATTGATTATTCATGCTGGTGAGCAGGAGTCATTATTTCTGGAAGAAAAAATACTCATTTCTTATATAGGTTTGAAGAAAGATGTGCAAGTGGGCTCTCTGAGGAAGTCACTTTAATGATGTTGCCAGGTGGAGTAGTCAGGGCTCAGCCCTGCCAAACGTTATGTTTGCCAGAGGATTAGTCTTAGTTACCAACATGTGGGGGGAAAGGAATAGGAAATTGCAACTCATTCCTAAGGGGACCTCCGTGAATTCCCAACTTGGACCAGAGGTGAGTGAGAATGAAAAACTTTGAAGTGATAGAGTGGTTCTTATTCTGTAACTGGGATAAGCTGTCTTCAGTTGATTCCTCAAGTGTCTTTTGTGGAAGAGGCCCTGCTTCCAGTTAGGCGTCGTGATATAAGTGATACCCTCCTGTTCACAGAGCCAGACGTGTGAACCGAACAAGCTGGAGAGTGTGTCGTATCCAGCCTTAGGAATTCTGGGTTCTCGTCTTTCCCTTCTTCCTTTTTGTTAGTATGCATCTTAATAAAAGCTACATATGACAGAGTTTAAAGATACAAATAGTTCTATAAGATTTCTCAAGCAAGATAGCAGTTCTGCACCTTGCACCCCGTATTGGCTTCCTTGCAAGCAATCACTGTCACTTCCTTTACGGCAGTCTATTTTGTCCTTTACCTCTATGAGATCTCTAAATAATATGCTTGTGGAGTCATTTAAAAAATTTTTCTAGCTGGGCGCAGTGGCTTGCGCCTGTAATCCTAGCACGCTGGGAGGCTGAGGCAGGTGGATTGCACAAGGTCAGGAGTTCAAAACCAGCCTGAGCAAGAGCGAGACGCCATCTCTACTATAAATAGAAAGAAATTAATTGGCCAACTAAACATATATATATACATATATATGTATGTATATGTATGTATTTATATATAAATTAGCCGGGCATAGTGGTGCATGCCTGTAGTCCCAACTACTCGGGAGGCTGAGGCAGGAGGATTGCTTGAGCCCAGGAGTTTGAGGTTGCTGTGAGCTAGGCTCACACCACGGCACTCTAGCCTGGGCAACACAGTGAGACTCCGTCTCAAAAAAAAATTTTCTGCTTTATGTATTAGCTCTTGATTCCTACTGGAAGATAAGGATTTGGCTGTTTCTTCTCTTGTTCTTGCCACGTGCATGTACTTTCTCATGTACTTGTGGGTCCACATCATATGTTTGGTTAGGTAAACATTCACCACTTACAATATTATGGCTTTGCAAATGCGATTCAGTTGGACCATATAGTGTATATGTAACATTTTTTTGTTTCCTCTGGAACTAGTAATTGTTTTTTATATATTCAGATCTATTTGGAGTATTCTTATGATTTCAGTTTGTCCGACTTATTCTACATTTCTGTGTACTTTTAAACATTTTTATCTAAAGAAATTTAGATATAGAAAATTAGACCTGGCATGGTGGCTCACGCCTATAATCCTAGCACTTTGGGAGGCTGAGGCAGGAGGATCACTTGAGGTCAGGAGTTTGAGACCAGCCTGAGCAAGAGCAAAACCCCGTCTCTACTAAAAAAATAGAAAAAAATTATCTGGGCGTTGTGGCACGCACGTGAAGTCCCAGCTACTTGGGACAGGAGAATCGCTTCAGCACAAGAGTTTGAGGTTGCTTGGGCAACAGAGTGAGACTCTGTCTCAAAAAAAAAAGAAGGAAAAGAAAATTAGATATAGGAGGCTCCCTCACCTCCAACTACCATCACGTTGATATTATGTTGATTTTTAATTCTTGGTAATTATCAATATAGATATCTTTTCTTGAGTCTTATTTTTTAAAAAAAATCTATTCATTTGTACTTTTCTTCTTCTAGGGAGATTTCTCAATCTGACTCTCCAATTTTCAAGTTTGTTCCATGGTTATATGATATCCATGATGCTATTCATGCTGTATATTGGGTTCTTCATTTCAACTGTTGTATTTTTCATACCTAATTTTTTGCTTGGCTCCTTTCTGTGTTTTCTTATACTTGTTTCATATTGCTAATATTTTCTCTTGTTTCTTTTAGTGTGGTTATGATCCAGTTTAAAATTCTTGGTCATTCAATTCTAATATTTTTGCTCCTGCAAAAATCTATAGTTGATCGTGTTGTTTTTCTTTCAAAATGGTTGTACTCTTCAAACATCTTGTTATTTTTGCTGCCTGCAAACTCATTTTCCTCCATGGGTTTCAGCTATTCTATCAGGCACTGGAATGGAAGAAGGCCCAGTCCATGCTGGTCCAAGGAGTGGGGAGTCCATGGCGACAGAGAAACCACAGTTAATCTCTCTTCACTCACTAAATAGCTCCTTGGGTCGAGGCTTCACCTCTGCCTCCCAACCCCCCACAGCAGCACTGGGAGGAGATGCCCCTAGGTTATGATTCACAGCTCTAGGGATTGGAGCAGGACGGGTGGGGAAGTAACTGTCCTCCTTAGTTTCCATCTGTTTTCCTCAGTGACTCACAAAGACAGGACTTTTATGCCAAAACCATTGTTTTAGGAAAAATAGAATTTTCTTTCTTTTTTTTTTTTTTTGAGACAGAGTCTCGCTTTGTTGCCCAGGCTAGAGTGAGTGCTGTGGCGTCAGCCTAGCTCATAGCAACCTCAAACTCCTAAGGGATCCTCCTGCCTCAGCCCCCTGAGTAGCTGGGACTACAGGCATGTGCCACCATGCCTGGCTAATTTTTTCTATATATGTTAGTTGGCCAATTAATTTCTTTCTATTTATAGTAGAGACGGGGTCTCGCTCTTGCTCAGGCTGGTTTCAAACTCCTGACCTCGGCCTCCAGAGTGCTAGGATTACAGGGATGAGCCACCGCACCCGGCCTAGAATTTTCTTTTAAACTTTGAGGTATTGGGGTCAGGTGAGGTGGCTCATGCCTGTAATCCTAGCACTCTGGAAGGCCGAGGTGGGAGGATCCCCTGAGCTCACGAGTTCGAGACCAGCCTGAGGAACAGCAAGACCCCATTCTTTACTAAAAATAGAAAAATTAACCAGGCGTCGTGGTGGTGCATGCCTATAGTCCCAGCTACTCAGGAGGCCAAGGCAGAAAGATCGCTTGAGCCCAGGAGTTTGAGGTTGCTGTGAGCTAGGCTGACGTCACAGCACTCTACTCAGGGCAACAGAGTGAGACTCTGTCTAAAAGAAAAAAAAAAAATTTGAGGTATGGAAGCAAGACAAAATGTAAAAGATACAAAGAAAAAGGTTTGATAAATTCAACTAAATAAATTTCTCAAAATTAAATTTCTATGTGACAATGGTCAACATAAACAAAGTTAAAATAATGACAGACTAAGAAGATATATTTACAATATTTAAACCAAATAAAGAATTAATTAATATCCAGAATATATAAAAATATCTACAAGTAAAAAAAGAGAAAAATGGGCAGAGGTTCTAAATAGATATTTCACAGAAGAGAAAAACTATGGCCAGTAACTATCTCACTAGTGATCTGGGAAATGTGAGTTAAAATAGTGAAATCTTATATTTTGTTCATTAAATTGGCAGATATTTTAAAGATTGAAAATATCATTAAATATGATAGGAAAACAGACATGTGGTGTAGGTAGTACATCCCAAATCCGAAATGCTCCCAAATCTGAAACTTTCTGAGTGCCCACATTGCACTCAAAGGAAATGCTCATTGGAGCATTTCAGATTTTAGATGTTTAACTGGTATAATGCAGATATTGCAAAATCTGAAAAAATCTGAAATCCAAAACACTTGTTCACAAGCATTTCGGATAAGAGATACTCAACTTACAGTGGTAACAAGTATTAGTATAAATTGAATTAGCCGTTTTAAGGGACTCTTGGACAATTTCTTGTTGAATTAAAAAATGCTGCCCTAGCAATTCTAAGTATCAGTCCAAAGGAAATAGTTAGCATGCATTAGAGGGTAGCATAAAGATATTAATTGCAGCATTTTTTATTGTGACTAAAAATTATAAACAGCTGAAGTGTCCATCAACAGGTAATGGTTAAATGACTTAATAGTACATCCATACAGTTAAGTGGAATGAAATAGATCCATATGTACAGATACAGAAATTTATTCACAATTCATTAATTATAAAATACAGAACATATACAGGATGATACCATATATCGTATAAAAACAGATGCTAAAGTTTAAAAATTAAATGAGAACACGTTCAGTATAGTTTTTTTTTTTTGTTTTTTTTTTGAGACAAGGTCTCCGGTATTTTGCCCAGGCTGGAGTGCAGAGGGGCCTGATCGTAGGTTACTGTAACCTCAAACTCCTGGGCCTCACGCTATTTTCCTACCTCAGCCTCCTGAGTAGCTGGGACTACAGGTGCACAGCACCATGCCCAGCTAATTTTTTCAACCTTTTGTAGAGATGGGGTCTTACTGTGTTGCCAAGGCTGGTCTCAAACTCCTGGCCTCAGGCAGCCTTCCAGCCTTAGCCTCCCAAAGTGCTGGGATTACAGGTATGAGCCACCTTGCCTAGCCTAGATTTTTTAAAAATTTGAATGACATCACCACAGAATCCTTTATAAGACAAATAAAAATTTTTCCTTTCAAAATGGACAAAGAAATTTGGAAGATTTAAGATTCCAAAGATTAATGGATTTTTTTTTATTGTTGTTGTTA